CCTCATGAACTACAATATTAAACATATATTTTCATAGGCAACATTATGTCTGCAAATCTACAGAAATAGAAGCATACCATGTCAGTTAAAATTCTGACCTTGGTAGAAAAGAGAATCTGATGTAACCAGCCAATACATAACTATCCCATTATTAACTATGAGAATAAACAGATTTAATGGAAACTTAGTTTGATGATGTGGAAAGAAATTAGGTTTACATGTCTTACGTTATTTCATATAAAATTAAATTTATCAAATTCAGTGGCCTCTGAATTCTATCTCTAGGTGTGTGATCTACATACACATTCCAGAAAATGAGGTGTTCTCAGTGCAACCTTAAGGAAATAAATACCTGAATATGGCCATGGAGAAGAGATAGATGATTTCATTCTGTACAAACAAAGATACGATGAAACTTTACAAAGACGACAGCAATGTTGGGAGATCATGGATGCAGAATGATGATCTACTGGCTGAGTAGGTACAGATATGTTTGAAGAAACAAAGCTACTAGGCTGTCACTGACGTCTGCCCTGGATCACATTAGTAAAATTAAATAAAAACCTCACTAACTATAATATTAAATAAAGAATACGTTACTTTAAGAGAGGAATTTTGACACAAAAAAACTTGAAGAGTTAGTCTCCCTTTTTGGCACATAAAAGTTACAGTGCCTCTTTGCTGGCTCCTTTAATTATTTAAAATTCATCACTGGACCTCTTAAGACAGAACCTGGCATAAATAAAAGGCAGGAGGGCTGATGTCTGCAAGATAGCAGACTGAAAATCTCCAGACCTCATTACCTTAGGAAGAACCAAGTTACCAATATATCATACAGAACAGCATTGGGAAAACTCTTGAAACAAGACAGCCCTCTGAATTACTTGACAAAAATGTAAAACAGCTATCTTAATCATGCTCAATGAGCTACTAAATAACTGAGATAGACAACTAAAAGAAATTAGTAGAAAGATATATGAACAAAATGAGAATATAAAAAAGAGTAAAAGTATAAAGAACATCCGATCAGAACTTCTCCAGTTGAAATGCAGTGACATGAAAAAAATGCACTAGAGTGTTTCAACAGCAGACAACATAAAGCAGGAAAGAAATGAAAGAACTTGAAAACAAAGTAGCGTGTTTCCCCAAAAATAAGACAGGCTCTTATATTTATTTTTCCTTAAGAGGACACCGTAGGGCTTATTATCAGGGGATGTATTATTTTTTTTAAGTACAGTACAACAGTCTACATTAATTGAAATACAGTTAAGTTATCCTCTTCTGGAACATCATAACTTTTCAAACCCCAAGTTCCAACCTGAATTTTTTGATACTCTATTTCTTTTAGAACCACTGGCCTCAATCCCCTTGCCCTTAAAATATCTACAAAATATACACAAAAATAAATAAAAGGGAGTAAAAGCATGTCTCTACAATAAAGCAACAAGACACAAAAGAAGACGGTAAGTGAAAAATGAGGAACAAAAAATCTCACAGGAAATACAGATAGTACACAGCAAAAAGGCAATAGTATGGCCTTCTCCATTAATAATAGTTGAAATGTCAACGTCTAACTCAGCATTCAGAAGACACAGATTGGCTAAATAACAGGATCCAACTACATGTTGTCCACAGCATACTCACCTTAGCTCTAAGGATACAGGCTGAATTTGAAAACATAAAAAAATGATATTGCAAGCAAATGGTATCCAAAAGACAGCAGAGGTGGTATACTAATATACACTTTAACTTAAAAAATCTTTAATTAGAGACAAAAAAAGACAGCATATCATAATGAAAGGATCAACTCACCAACAAGGTACACTATGTCAAGGAAATATCAGAGTTCCATATATAAAGCAAACATTTACCCATTTGAATAATGGATAGAACAATGAGAGTTGATCAATAAGAAAGTAGAGGATTTAACTATCAATATAAACCAGTTGGACCTAACAGACACATACAGAACATACCACCTCAAAACAACAGAATATAAATGCTTCTGCACCATACATAAAGTAATCTCCAAACTTGACCTGATGTTAGGACACAAAAGGAAGTTTTAAAAAGATTTTTAAAACACTGAAATCATACAAAGTATCTTTTCCTGTCAGAGTGGAATAAAATCGGAGATCAACAGTATAAGGAAAACTGGAAGATCAACAAATATGGGTAAATGAAGACACTCTTAACCAAATGTGTTGAAAAAAATCACAAGGGAAATTAGAAAAAAATGAGAGACAAATCAGAAAGGCAACACCAAACACCAAATATGATGGAATACAAAAAAAACCCAGAGGGGTTAAAAGAGAGTCTTTCCTATAAAGCCTTACATTGAAATAGAATATCTCAAATCAACAACCCAACTTTATATCTCATTGAAGTAGAAAAAATAAAACACATCCAAAGATTGGAAGAACAAAATAATAAATATTAGAGCCAAGACAAAGAATAAAAAAGTATAGTGAAAACCAAGAAAATAAGAGTTACTTTGAATAGCTTATGAAAATTGAGAAAATTAATAATATTAAATACGAGGAATAACTCAAAAGCAAAAGCAACAAAAGCAAAAGTAGACACATGAGACTACATCAAGCTAAAGAGCTTCTGTACTGCAGGAAAAAAACAGAAGAGAAGCTGACCGGGCGCCGAGGCTCACGCATGTAATCCTAGCACTCTGGGAGGCCAAGGCAGGCAGATTGCTCGAGGTCAGGAGTTCGAAACCAACCTGAGCAAGAGCGAGACACCGTCTCTACTATAAATGGAAATAAATTAATTGGCCAACTAATATATATAGAAAAAATTAACCGGCCATGGTGGCACATTCCTGTAGTCCCAGCTACTCGGGAGGCTGAGGCAGTAGGATTGCTTGAGCCAAGGAGTTTGAGGTTGCTGTGAGTTAGGCTGAAGCCACGGCACTCACTCTAGCCCGGGCAACAAAGTGAGACTCTGTCTCCAAAAAAAAAAAAAAAAAAACATACAGGGACCAGGAGAGGCTATGGAAAATTCAAGTGCAAAGAAAGATGAAGAGCAAAACAATATTCATGTGTTAACTGAAGAATGCAGTTTCCCCGAGAAATGTTGCAGAAAATACAGGTGGTATAAAAATAGTAGAGAAGGTGATAACGTATAAGAAATGTAGGAAGTTATGCTTCCAATAGAATAGTATGAGATATTCAAATATGAATTTAGCTTATCAAAATAGACATGATGAATCTAGACAGAAAGAATAATTATTATATTAAAATATATCATTTATTCCAAGAAAAGCTAAAATTTAAATAATATCCACAGATTATACTTAGAAAATTGGAAACACACTACAGAAAACTCAATGTGTTCAAATAAATTATGGCAAATCAACTTAATGGTATTTCTGAGATTAAGATAGTAATTTAACACAAAAAGGTGCAAATTTTGAGATATCACAAAGCCCTATTTTACATATTGTAATAAATTCAATGGACAAAAGTATTGTGGGTTTTTTTTTTTTCGACACAGAGTCTCACTCTTGTTACCCAAGTTAGAGTGGCGTGGCATCAGCCTAGCTCACAGCAACCTCAAACTCTTGGGCTCAAGCGATCCTCCTGCCTCAGCCTCCCAAGTAGCTGGGACTATAGGCATATGCCACCATGCCCAGCTATTTTTTCTATATAATCTTAGTTGGCCAATTAATTTCTTTCTATTTTTAGTAGAGATGGGGTCTTGCTCTTGCTCAGGCTGGTTTCAAACTCCGGACCTTAAGCGATCCACTCGCCTTGGCCTCCCAGAATGCTAGGATTAAAGGCGCAAGCCACCATGCCCGGCCTAAAAGTATACTTTAACAGTAAGTACACACTCAGATGAAACTGATGTAAAGGAATAATTAAATTGAATTGTAGGACACCCAGTAGGTGTGGGCCAGAAAATTGCCTGTGGGAGGACAGAGATCCCCACACATTTTGGTGACCAGAGGGAAGTGTTCTGCGGTGTGTGACAGGAGAAACACTTTGGCTGTTTCCTATCTCAAATAGACCTGAACAGGCCGAGAGGGCTGGAGGCAGCTCAATGCACTTGCTACAACCCAGATGCAATGAAAGGGCAGCCAGTATTTTCCCATCTGCTGATTAGCTTTTTCAAGTTCAGGAAATGGGGTGCAACCTGAGCACCATATGGAACCAAGTACAAAAGGAGACAGCAAGGGAGGAGACCACTTTGAAAAGGCCCCTCCTGTGCTGCAAATGGTTTAGGGACCAAAGAGTTCATAGAAGGCAGACCACAGGGGGTTGTCCATCACAATTTAAAGATTTTGCCTTTGTCTCAGCTGGAGCTGCATCAGTAGTAGAGGGTGAAAAACAAACCATCACATGTCTAAAGACCAGAGAGGTAAGTGGGGGCAAAGAAAGATTTCCGTTCAAAGCTCAAGTATTAAAACTGTATTGTGGCAGGGCGCGGTGGCTCACGCTTGTAATCATAGCACTCTGGGAGGCCGACGCGGGCAAATTGCTTGAGGTCAGGAGTTCGAAACCAGCCTAGGCAAGAGTGAGACCCCGTCTCTACTATAAATAGAAAGAAATTAATTAGCCAACTAAAATATATAGAAAACAATAGCCGGGCATGGTGGCACATGCCTGTAGTCCCAGCTACTCGGGAGGCTGAGGCAGCAGGATTGCTTCAGCCCAGGAGTTTGAGGTTGCTGTGAGCTAGGCTGACGCCACAGCACTCACTCTAGCCTGGGAAACAAAGCGAGACTCTGTCTCAAAAAAAATAAATAAATAAAACTGCATGGTGCCGCAGAACTCTTTGACATGGGGAGAGTTTTCTGAATACTATTTAATGGAGCAGCGTATTCTCTGCCCATCTGAGCTCTTACCTGTGTTCACACTTTCCATATGTCAACAGAAAAGTACCCAAACTCTGTAAAACAATTTGAAGAGGTTTATCCTGAGCCGAGTATGTGTGACAATGTCTTGGAGAGCCACAACCAAGAAGACTTTGAGCAAGGGATCTCGCCTTGGTTAGGTTTCAGTTTCGTTTAATGTATTTCAGGAAGTCAGAAATCACATGTAAAGTCATAAATCAATACATCGGAGGCGTCCACTAGTTTGGCCTGAAAAGGCAGGATGCCTTGAAGCTGGGCATTACAGGTTACAGGTAGGTTAAAAGATTCTTTGATTTGTAACTGGTTCACAAAATAAAGCTTTGTCTAAAGGCTTGAAATGTTTTAAGTTAAGATAAAGAAGTGTGTTAATCAGAGATAAGCCACTGGACATATACTGGACATATACAAATATTCAAGTAATCTGATAAGTAAATTGAGGACCTACAGGTATGGTTTTAGCTTTGTCATGCATAGCCTGAACCCTGTAAATGAGTTATAAATGACATCTCCAGGAAAGGAAGGGCAAAATGAGGCGTATCTGACATTCCTTCTCATGGCCAGTAACTCTGCTTAAGGGCATTTCTGGGGTCCCCTTGGCCAAGAGGGGTCCATTCAGTCACATGCAGGGGTAGTTTAAGATTTTATTTCAGTTTACAGATATACTCCTACCCTTTGGACTTTTTTCTATTTTCACTTTAGTCTCTATAGACTAGGGCTCTTTCCCTTGCTCCAACATGAAGATGATACTCAGGTCAAAAACATAGATTCCTGCTTTAAAAAAAAAAAAAAGGAACATCATGTGCTGGTGCTTTTCCAAAATCCCAACCCCACATTAAGATAGGAGGAAGGACATTACAGATGGATATAGAAAAATATTTCACAAATTCATCCACTGAATGTCCACCAGTGAATGCTTAGGGAATACTGTAAGATGCAGATGTCTTGCTGTCTTCCAAAATCTACTGAATCAAAAGCATGGGGGCAGAAAACAAAGAATTGGATATTTTAGAAGCCACATGGCCTTATGCATACCTCAGCCTATTATGATGAAGGGCAGAACATCTGAAAAAGGGGAACAGGTAAAGTCTAGTGGTACATTATGAAGCTTTTCACTTCTCAATCAATACAGCTTCATTCAGTCGGCAATGCGGGGGGTCCCAAGAGGCAATCAGAGAAAATATACAGATCCTGACTTCTAAAGAAAAGTAATTCTCACCCAGGGAGACTAGGTTCCTGTAGTTCTCCAACATCACGTCCCTGTATAAAGTCCTCTGAGCAAGGTCCAGGCATGTCCATTCCTCCTGAGAGAATTCTATGGCCACATCCCTGAATGTCAAAGGCCTCTGAAATGAAAACACATTTTACTGAAGGGTTATGGGGAGGGTTTTTATGTTTACACAAAAAGAGAAAAGGAAAGAGGTGAAAGGATCAATTCATTGAATTGGACGTTCTGACAAATCCAAGTGAGGTATTTTTGACCACATTATGTTTCCCTAATTCTCTTTTATTATACTTTTCCATTAAAGGTTCTAACTCCCTCTAAATGAGTATGGATTTTTTATATATATAGACAATAGAAGAAATATAACAATTAAAAATTCAATGCAGGGTTATCTCTAGAGATGTGTCAGATACTACTTGTGACACTGGAGTGATATTCAGTATCTAGATGAGTTAAAGTATCAATGGTGACTTCAGAGATGACAACATCTATGACGCCTTTAAAGAAAGGTCAGAATCTAAAATCCAACATGATGAGACCAATGGCAGTGACTGAAGCTTCTGAATACTTCCCATGTGCTAGGCGCTATTCCAAACACAAAAACAAACAGAAAAGATGGCTGACAAGTGAAAAGGCAGAGGGAGAGTAAGTGTTTACTGGGTACAGTTTCAATTTCCCAATATGGTAAATTTCTAGCAACTTGTTGGACAATAATTTGAATATACCTAACATTACTGAACTGTGAACAAGGGAACACACTTTACTAAAAGATGTATCAAAGACCAGAAAACCCAATTATCACTGGAAGACGTGGAGATGTAAAGACCTCTGTGATGAGAAGTCTAGAGCCATTCAAAGACAAAGAGAACATATGAGATTTCCATGAATTTGACAGTGTCGTGTCACAGGAGAACAAACATAATTATGAAAAGAAAAAGAAAATGGAAGGGTTTATCAGGCTCAACAGAAACCTCTTATGACATTACATAAATAAAATACCTGAAATAAGATATACATAAAAATTCAAATTAAACTGAGACATAATCAAAATGTTAAACAATAAAAGTTTAGATGTAAATGAAACATACTATTCTGTAATCGTGCAAGGCCATCCAAATAAAGATAAAATAAACAACAAACAAAGGCACAATAAAAAAAAGGTGGCATGAGAAAAAGGTTTCTGTATCATATTTAAAGAATGTATAATCTAAAAAAAGATACCAGGATATGTATAAAGAATAAAAACCACAGGATACAAAATACATCCTGAAATACATGAACACAAAATTGAGCAAAGTATGAAAATACTTTTTACATATACATATCCAGAAAATGAAAACCACACAGACTTACAAGAAACGGAAAAATGTTAATAGAAACGTTTGTCATTTTCCCCAGGTTTTCAAAAATATAAAAAGAACAAAGTAGCAAGTTTGGTTTAATGAGGGAGAATCTCACACGTTCTGGGTAGCAGAGGGTATCTCTGCAGCTGGGGTAGGGAAGCAATCTTAGCAGATCTAACAAACTACTAACATCTTCGTCCTAGAGACAGCAATCATTCTTTCAAGTGCCAACCTGAAGGAACCTTCAGACGTCTGTAGAGATGTAGGCAGGCACAGAGGCAGCCACTGTGACATTCTTTATAACAGTGAAAAATTATAAAGATCCACGTTCAGGGAATACTCCAACGAAAATGTGAAATAGCAAGCTATCCATGTTTACTGACGCGAAAACATGTAAATTTTCACAACCAGCAGGATAAATTATCACAAAGAAACATTCCCTGAAGATTTTTTTCTAAAATCTCATAACAACATGGAATATATCTGTACAAAACTTGCTCTGCCTCCTGCCAAACAACTGACAGGAGTGGTCCCCAAGTGACACTGGAGGGATGGTGGCAGATTGAGAGAGGGATGCTTTACATGTCAGGCTCTCAGCTGCATCTGTGTGTGGAGTTTTACTTTAACACAAACGGACACAGGAAGTGATGTTTAAAATAAAAAATATATATTTAATAATAATTGGTGGAGCGAGAATATGGCTGCACCCTCTCTGATGACAAAGTAATTCTGCTTCAATACGTGAGCAAAATTATAACCATTTTTACCTAAAACACCTGTTGCAGAAAAGGTTCTGCCAGAACATCACAGTCTCCATAGAATGGATGTGCTGAGAATGGTTTAAAAACTTTCCTACTCTAGGCCCTTTTCTTTAGAACAAGAGGCCCATTGACCATTTCGTGGCAAGCACATCTTGCTCTCACTCTGAAAACCTATATCTTGCTCTTGCCCTGTAACCTATCTTGTCCTTCCCTAATAAACTTCATTTCACACTTGCAAAAACAAGAAACAAACAAACACTTTCCTGCTCTAAGGCAAGAGGACTGGCAGGAGTCTGAGGTTATACTAAGCTATGCTGACACCACTGTACTCTAGCCTGGGCAAGAGAGTCAGATCATGACTCAAACACACACACACAAAAAAAAACAACAAAGAAAAACACCATAACAACAAAAACAAATATATATGTATACACACACATGTGTATGTGTATTAAACGTATTTCAAAAAAATTAAAACTTTCCTGCTGTTAGATATTTACTATGAACGTAGTTTGAGAAAAGATTTCCCACTTCTGATGTCTTTTTTCCCAAATTAACCAGGTATTTGTGCACCTTAGTATAAGACTTCAACTGCAGCTTCTCTAATCTTGGCCTTATAGCTGACAGTGCATCCAGAGCCCTGCTGCCCAACTGCACTGACACGACAGGGACCTCACCTTCTCTGCAATCCACATCTGGGTGTGAAGCCCTATCTAGGCCTGTGTCCAATAGATCCTCTCCACAGGGTCCTGTCACTGGGTCGCAGTGAGATGGAAAGGCAGTGGAGGAGACAGGGACTGAGGGAAGGCACGGGTGAGTGTGACCAAACACAACAGGCAGGACGCTTCAGAGTCACAGAAGATCAGCGACTCCAGTGCCCGGCATGTCAGAAAGGAGGGGGACACAGAGCCACCCACTGAGAACATCACCTTACCTGAGCCACAGCCATTCCTGACTCCTTTCCTTTCCTCTTCTGGACTTCTTCTTCACGTAACTGGAGTTACTGAAATTCCCATTGACAGTGTTAGGTTAGGCACAGGCTTAATAACATTTAGAGTTGATTCTATTCTGTGTCCAGTCAAGGTTCTGAGTCCTCCATTTGTCAGGGCTGAGGTCCCTGCAGGGGTGAGGGGGGCTGTGCTCTGCATCCTGTTTGGTTGGGGCTGGCTCTGGCCCAGGAGGGGAGCTCAGCCCAGCCCAGCTCCCCACTGCTGCAGCCTGTGGGAAAGATGGTCCCCTGTTGCCCATGGCCCCAGGAGAGATGCAGAAACAATAAACTCCTGCAGGAAGCCAAACCAGTGAGTTTTTGACACCTTTTGTCAGATCTTGCTCCCCTCCTGGTGAAGCCCACACACTCACTGCAGCAAGGGAAATGGGAATCTCCAGTAAGAGGGTTAAGACATGAATCTGCAAAATGCCTCAACACCCTAATGTGAAGCCAGGGCTGAGCTCCACTCAAAGCCAGTAAGCCTGGTAAAACCTCCCACCCTCTGACTCTGCTCCCCGCTCAGGGACATGCCATCACCAGTGTCCAGACAGTGGAAGGTAAAGGAGCAGAAACGAATACCCATTGTACAATATGGTCCACAGGTGGGGTTGAGAGTGTTGCTGGAATGTTAAATAGGGGCATGTCAAAGAAGTCCCCACTGAGAAGGGGATATCAGAACAACACCATGGAAGGAATGCTGTTTGTCATCTACAGCTGAGGGGCCAGAGGGTTCTAGGCAGAGGATCAGGCAACCTGGAGGCCCTGAGGCAGGAGCCACCTTGGCCCCAGGAATAGGAAAGAGGCCAGTGTGGCTGGAGCAGAGCCAGCCAGGACCACACAAGCAGATGAGGCCAGAGAGGTCCAGGGGGAGCAGAGCAGGCAGGGCCAGGTCTGCACACATTTCTCTCCCACACCTCAGAAGAACATTGGAAATGATGTATTTCCTCACCTGTTTTAAGTAAACATGTAATTTTTTTATTATTAAAACACTTATGAACAATGTAGTATTTCCTATGTTTAAAATATTAGCCAGTGTGCTCAGCTAATCCCCAGGAAGCACAGGGGCGCCCTCACCTGACATGTGGGGACTACTAGGAACATGTTTTGGGTGTTCAGAAAGTTGCTTTTGGACATATGAAGGTGGAGATGCTTGTGAGATGGTCTGGCACAGATGTCACAGGGACAACTGGCCAGAGGATTCCAGAGTTCAGGGGAGAGGGCTGCAGGGGAAATGGAGACATGTAGTGGGGCTTAAAGCATGAGATAAGATGTTAAGGAAAGGCAGGGGGTGTGCACAGAGAAAAGAGGTTCAAGGGCCAAGCTGTGGATCACTCTCACATTCACAGAACAAGGAGTTCAGGAGACTCCAGCAGAGACAAGTGTGAAGTCTTTAGGAGCCAAAAAAAAATTAAAACAGGCCGGGCACTATGGCTCACACCTGTAATCCCAGCACTTCGGGAGGCCAATATGGGAGGGTGACTCAAAGACAGGATTTTGAGACCAGCTTGAGCAACATAGTACCAAGACCACGTCTCTAGAAAAAATTTAAAAATTAGCCGGGTTGGCCGGGCACGGTGGCTCATGCTTGTAATCCTAGCACTCTGGGAGGCCAAGGCGGGCAGATTGCTTAAGGTCAGGAGTTCAAAACCAGCCTGAGCGAGACCCCGTCTCTACTATAAAAATACAAAGAAATTAATTGGCCAACTAATATATATATATATATATATATTAGTTATATATATAA